ATACTAAAGGAAGGAGCAAAAGAACTGTGCCTCCCACTCTCCATAGTGTATAACAAATCACTGGCAACAAGGGAACTGCCAGATATTTGGAAAGCAGCTAACATAGTCCCGATATACAAGAAAGGGGATAGATTGGAGGCACTGAACTACAGGCCCGTGTCCCTGACCTGCATACCATGCAAGCTGATGGAGAAGATTGTGCGAAGAAAGTTAGTGGAGCATCTGGAGCGAAGGAACATTGTAACACAGCATCAACATGGGTTCAGGGATGGCAGGTCCTGCCTCACAGGGTTACTTGAATTCTACGGCCAGGCAACAAAAATAAGACAAGAAGGAGAAGGGTGGGCAGATTGCATATTTTTGGATTGTCAGAAAGCCTTTGATACAGTACCACACAAGAGGCTAGTGAAAAAGCTGGAGATGCAGGCTGGAGTGAAGGGGAAAGGTACTCCCTTGGATATAGGAGTACCTAAGCAACAGGAGACAACGAGTCTGTGTGAGGGGTGAGGTCTCAGATTGGCGAGACGTTACAAGTGGAGTCCCACAGGGGTCAGTCCTTGGACCTCTACTGTTTCTGGTATATGTAAATGATCTCCCAGAGGGTATAGATTCGTTCCTCACAATGTTTGCCGACGATGCAAAAATTATGAGGAGGATTGAAACAGAGGATGATAGTAGGAGGCTACAAGATGACCTAGACGGACTGAGTGAATGGTCCAACAAATGGCTGTTGAAGTTCAACCTGAGTAAATGCAAAGTAATGAAATTAGGCGGTGGAAACAGGATGCCAGAAACAGGATACTGGAGATGGGCAGAAACAGGAGATGAAGTACTTAATGAAACAAACAGAGAGAAAGATCTAGAAGTTGATATCACACCAAACCTGTCTCCTGAAGCCCACATAAAAAGAATAACGTCTGCGGCATATGCCAGGCGGCTAACATCAGAACAGCGTTCAGGAACCTGTGTAAGGAATCACTCAGACTCTTGTACACCACATATGTAAGACCAATCTTGGAGTATGCGGCCCCAGCATGGAGCCCGTACGTTGTCAAGCACAAGACGAAACTGGAAAAAGTCCAAAGATATGCCACTAGACTAGTCCCAGAAGTAAGAGGCATGAGTTATGAGGAAAGGCTGCGGAAAATGCACCTTACGACACTGGAAGACAGAAGAGTAATGGGGGACATGATCACAACCTACAAAATCCTCAGGGGAATCGACCGGGTAAACAAGGATAAACTATTCAACACTGGCGGGACACGAACAAGGGGACACAAGTGGAAACTGAGTACCCACATGTGCCACAGGGACGTAAGAAGGAACTTTTTCAGTGTCAGAGTAGTTAACAGATGGAATGCAATAGGCAGTGATGTGGTGGAGGCTGACTCCATACACAGTTTTAAATGTAGATATGATAGAGCCCAGTAGGCTCAGGAACCTGTACACCAGTTGATTGACAGTTGAGAGGCGGGACCAAAGAGCCAAAGCTCAACCCCTGCAAGCACAAATAGGTGAGTACACACACACACACACCTCTGCCATTCAGACTCTCCCTAACTTTCAGACCCATTATGCCCTTCCTACCCACCTAGATGCCCAGACTCCATTCGCCTACCAGGCACTCCCAGGCACCCCCCTAGCACCCTCCAGACACCCCCACAGCCCCCACTCGCCCCCCAGACACCCCCAGTACCCCCCAGACCCCCAGCAAAAGGGGGAACTCTGGCACCAGAGTTTCCAAGACGAGTCTCAAGGTTTGGTACACCAATGCTGATGGGGTATCCAATAAAGCAGAAGAGATAAAAGAAAGAGTTAGTGAGGCAGACCCAGACATAGTGACAATAGTAGAAACTAAAATAAATGGCATGATCTCGGATGCAATCTTTCCACAGGGGTACCAGGTGTTAAGAAAAAAAAGGACACAGAGACAGGGAGGAGGAGTAGCACTCCTAATAAAGCAGAAATGGAAGTTTGATGAGCTGGAAAATCTGGGTACCAATGAAAGCACGATCTCCATACACGGAACTCTGACAGTGGATGGGAAGAAGATTGTAATCTTGTTACTCTACAATCCCCCACCAAACAGTAGAAGGCCCAGGCTGGAGTATGAGGACAGCAACAAGGCATGTAGAGATGAACTGCAGAGGGCAGCAACTACAGCGCATAGAATGAGAGCGAAGCTGCTGGTCATGGGGGACCTAAATCACGGAGAGATAGATTGGGAAACGAGGAATCCCCATGGCGGGGATTCCTTCTGAGGAAAACAGAAGGAGCATATACAGAAAGTGACAAGGAAATCTGCGAGGTACTGAATGCAAGTTTCCATGGAGTGTTCACAACCGAGCCTGAGTGGCTCCCATTGTTAGAAGAGATTTCCCTAGGTGAAATACTATAAGATATAGAGGTGACAGCAGAGAAGGTAATGAAACAGTTGACAACACTGGATGGAACTAAAGCAGTTGGACCAGACAAAGTATCACCGTGGATACTCAAAGAGGCAGCGCAGGCTCTCAGCATGCCTCTGGCAATGATCTTTAATGAGTCACTTATGTCGGGAGAATTGCCCAGTTGCTGGAAGGAGGCAAATGTCGTAACGATTTTAAAGAAAGGAGATAGGGAGGAGGTACTTAACTACAGACCCGTATCACTGACAAGCATCCCCTGCAAAATACTTGAAAGAATAATTAGGCTAAGACTTGTTGAGCACCTGGAGAGCATTGGGCTTGTAAACAAGCACCAACATGGGTTCTGGACAGGGAAATCATGCTTAACAAACCTTTTAGAATTCTATGACAAAGTAACAAGGATAAGGCAGGACAGAGAAGGCTGGGCAGACTGCATATTTCTTGACTGCCAAAAGGCCTTTGATACAGTACCGTACATGAGACTGCTACACAAACTTGAGAGGCAGGCGTGAGTAAGCGGAAAGGCTCTAGCATGGGTGAGGAACTACATAACAGGAAGGAGCCAGAGGGTATTGGTAAAGGGCGAGAAGTCGGACTGGCGAACAGTAACGAGTGGAGTACCTCAAGGATCGGTGCTGGGCCCAATCCTCTTTCTAATTTATGTAAATGATATGTTTACAGGAGTGGAATCATACATGTCAATGTTTGTGGATGACGTAAAATTAATGAGAAGAGTTGTGACAGATGAGGATTGTAGGATCCTCGAAGAGGACTTATGCAGGTTGCAGAGATGGTCAGGTAAATGGCTACTGGAGATCAACACCAGTAAATGTAAAGTTATGGAAATGGGATCAGGTGATAGGCGACCAAAGGGACAGTACACAATGAAGGGGAACAGCCTACCTGTAACGATTCGAGAAAGAGACCTGGGAGTGGATGTGACACCTACTCTAACTCCAGAGACACATATAAATAGGATAACGACAGTAGCGTACTCTACACTGGCGAAAGTTAGAACTTCATTCAGAAACCTAAGTGAGGAGGCTTTTAGGGCGCTTTACACTGTCTACGTGAGACCAGTCTTAGAGTATGCCGCGCCATCATGGAGCCCCCACCTGAAAAAACACATAAGGAACCTTGTGAAGCTTCAGAGGTTTGTGACGAGGCTTGTCCCAGAGTTACGAGGGATGGGATATGAAGAGCGTTTCAAGGAACTGAACCTTACGACACTAGAGAAAAGAAGGGGAAGAGGAGATATGATAGAAACATATAAATTACTCAGGGGAATTGACAAAGTGGAAATAGATGAAATGTTCACACGTAATAATAACAGAACGAGGCGACATGGGTGGAAACTGGAAACTCAGATGAGTCACAGAGATGTTAGGAAGTTTTCTTAATGCGTGAGAGTAGTGGGAAAATGGAATGCACTTGGGGAACAGATTGTGGAAGCAAACTCTATATATACTTTTAAAATTAGGAATGATAGGAAAATTGGACAGGAGTAATTGTTGTAAACAACCGATGGCTGGAAAGGCGGGATCCAAGAGTCAATGCTCGATCCTGCAAGCTCAATTAGGTGAGTACAAATAGGTGAGTACACACACACACATTCATACAAATGTTGTGGGTGGTGGCTGTGGGTACAGCGGTCAAGACTCGTGTACCTACTGACCGGAGTTCATTCCCCCGGCACCGCCAGAGAAACAAATGGGCAGAGTATCCTTAACCCTGATGCGCCTGTTACCTAGCAGTAAATAGATACCTGGGAGTTAGACAGCTGCTACGGGCTGCTTTCTGTCTGTCTGTGTACTCACCTAGTTGTGCTTGCGGGGGTTGAGCTCTGGCTCTTTGGTCCCGCCTCTCAACCGTCAATCAACAGGTGTACAGGTTCCTGAGCCTATTTGGCTCCATCATATCTACACTTGAAACTGTGTATGGAGTCAGCCTCCACCACATTACTTCCTTATGCATTCCATTTGTCAACCACTCTGACACTAAAAAAGTTCTTTCTAATATCAGTTTCCACCTGTGTCCCCTAGTGCGTGTGCCCCGTGTGTTAAATAGCCTGTCTTTATCAACCCTGTCGATTCCTTTGAGAATCTTGAATGTGGTGATCATGTCCCCCTAACTCTTCTGTCTTCCAACGAAGTGAGGTTTAATTCCCGTAGTCTCTCCTCGTAGCTCATACCTCTCAGCTCGGGTACTAGTCTGGTTGCAAACCTTTGAACCTTTTTAAGTTTAGTCTTATGCTTGACTAGATATGGACTCCATGCTGGAGCCTCATAATCCAGGATTGGTCTGACATGGACAGGAACCGGTAAGCAGACGAACACTGCAGTTGGCAAATGCAAATCTGATTTATACAACGTAAACGTGACTGCAGAGGAGAGGTAAATGCCAGTTACTTTTTTTTTTTTTTTTTTTTTTTTACATTCAAGCATGCGAGTTAAATTACAATAAAACAACAAATTGAAACATAACAATACAAAACAAGAAACCGCCGGCCAGAAGGACCGACAGAACAACAATTACCAAAACTGGAAAGGTTACAGAAAATGCAGGATAAAAACACAAAAAGATACAAAACAGAAAACAGGCACAAACAAGCAAGCAACGCAAGCCAACCAAGAACATAGCAACAATTTAAAACAATTTAGCAGTATGAAACAAAACAGACAGAAGCGCCGGCCTGAAGGACCGACAACAAAGCACAACAGTATGAACAAAATGAAATACAATAAGAAAGCATATCACACAACAAGCCAATAACAAACAAAATAAAATAAAAGACAATCACAACATGTAAGCATAAAAGAAAATACATAGGGCGAGGTAACAACACAAAAACACATGAAGAATAGCACACACACCAAACCACCCGCCTCGCCACAAACAAGGGAGAGGAACGGGCACAAACTACCAGATGGCAAACAAACAGCCAGAAGGGCACACAGTACAAGAGTAAGCAAAATAGTAGAAAATCACCTGACATACTTGCCCGGAAACACGTCCCGAGGGAACTGTACATGGAACGCCTCCCAGCGCAACCACTGCCAAGGGCCCTGACCATCCACCGGGGACGCCATATCATCCGGGACATCGGCAACAAACACCCGCAAACAGGGTACCCAAATGGTATCACTCCTGACCTGAGTGATCGGCACACGCTCCCACACCAATGGAACTGCCCCATCCTGAAAGGCCAGCGCCTCCTCGCAGACCGGTAACGCAGCAATCCGCAACCAGTGACCCAACGGCATCACAGACTCCGGTAACACGTCCCCCAAGCCCCCAACGTACTTCCTCAGAGGAGGGAGCCGGACAGAAGGCACCACCACAGGGGCACCAGCGTCCATGGGCACACCACCGGACGACTGCCGGGAAACCGAGCTGCGCACATCCTTCCGCAAGGTCACCACCAGGCCACGCCCAACCCCATCATCCCCACCATCCCTGGCAGCGGAGGCCACCACGCCCCACCGCAGAGAGGCCTCCGGTGGAGAAGGAACAGCAGGCACATCCGAGACACGGACACCATCGTCAGCAGGCACATGGACTTCCGCCACCACTAACTGCGGAGCCAGAGACGTATCCGGAACCACTCCATCCACACCCGAAGACCCACAGTCACTAAATTCCCCAACATCGGCCCAGGCAGACGACGAACGCCTGGAACGTTTGGGCATCGGCCTGAGATCGTCAGAGCCGGAAGTGGTCCCAGAAACACGGGCACCACTAGCCGGACGAACGGACGCCCACCGCAGAACAGCAGCAGCCTAGACCACAGGGGGAATCGGACCACACACATCAGGGGGCCCCACAGCCACCCCAGCACCCAGCACAGCCGGGACCCGAGGCGAGGATGCAGGGCAAGGCACAGCAGCTGAAGACGGGTGAGCAGACGGCGATGCCTCACAGGGAGCTGCAGGAAGACCCACGGGAGCAGCAGGGCCAGTGACAGGAGCAGGAGTAACATCTGACGGTACCGCAACATCCGGAGGAGGGTCGGCGACAACCTGGGGAACCTCAGGCGACGCTGGGGGAGCCTCAGCAACTAACAGGACGTTCACCTCCTCACCCCCAGAGTCCTCGTCCAGATGGAGCAGCGGGAAATCGTCTTCCCGGAACAAGTTGACTGGAGCAACCTGAGCCGCATCGCACCCAGCAGCCTGATGCCCCAACAGGCCACACCGGAAACAAGTACGAGATTGCCAGGCATAGTACACCCGGATGTAGTACCCCAGAAGCCGGACCGAAGATGGAATATCCGACCACAGGCACATCCCTAAGGTGCGAATGTTCGTCCGCCTACCTGCATACCTCCCTGAGGAGAGCGTGTTCACCCGCACACTGACGACCGCTCCAAACCGCTGAAAGTAACGTCGGAGAAGGTCCTCAGGAAACTCCAGGGGCGCCCCATGCACACTGACATAAGTCAGGGCACCACTACGGTTCGAGATGGACACAGAGCCGGCACCATCCGGCAACGGCAACAAACGCCCTTCGTAACGACGGAGGAAGTCACGATACTCCACCTCCTTCACGAACTTGATAACAACCTGGTGGGCAGTTACAAGCTCAATGCCGTAAATGGCCATCACATGGATACGGAGCATGTCGCACATAACCATCTCTATATCTGCATATCCAGCACAACCAGTGAACTCCAGGCCCATGGAGTTCACGAGCTTAACAGGAGGTAGGTGGCTACCCATGGCAAGCTCGCCACATCAACACGCAGCCAGGCAGCAACAGCAGGGGATGGCAATAACGCCCACACCCCCTGGCGACGAAAACGGCAAATACCCCAAACTACCAGAGGCCAGACGACACGTCTGTACCTCACGGCAGCTCCAGGTGGACTCTGCTAACACTTGTGTCTAGGAGGCTGGGAGACCAGCTCGATGTTCTTTGTATCGTTAGATGGTTTTGGGATACCATAGAAGTATAACCTGCTGAACGAGGGCTACCATAGAGTATGACCTGCTGAACGAGGGCTACCATGGAAGTATGACCTGCTGGACTAGGGCTACCATGGGAATATGACCCGCAGGACGATGGCTACCATGGGAGAATGACATGCTGCACGTGGGCTACCATGGGAGTATGACCTGCTGGACGAGAGCTACCATGGGAGTATGACATGCTGGACGTTGGCTGATACCATGGGAGTAATCCCCACTGGACGAGGGCTACCATGGGAGTATGACCTGCTGGACGAGAGCTACCATGGAGTATGACCCGCTGAACGAGGGCTGATACCATGGGAGTATGGCCTGCTGGCCGAGGGCTACCATGGGAGTATGACCTGCTGGACGAGGGCTACCATGGGAATATGACCCGCTGGACGAAAGTTACCATGGGAGTATGACCTGCTGGACGAGGTCTGATACCATGGGAGTATGACCCGCTGGAAAAGGGCTACCATGGGAGTATAACCCGCGGGACGAAGGCTACCATGGGAGTATGATCCGCTGAATGAGGACTGATACCATGGGAGTATGACACGTTGGACGAGGGTTATCATGGGAGTATGACCCTGGTTGATGGGGTTCTGGGAGTTCTTCTACTCCCCAAGCCCAGCCCTAGGCCAGGCTTGACTTGTGAGAGTTTGGTCAACCAGGCTGTTGCTTGGAGCGGCCCGCAGGCCCACATACCCACCACAGCCCGGTTGGTCCGGCACTCCTTGGAGGAATAAATCTAGTTTCCTCTTGAAAATGTCCACGGTTGTTCCAGCAATATTTCTTATGCTTGCTGGGAGGACGTTGAACAACCGCGGACCTCTGATGTTTATACAGTGTTCTCTGATTGTGCCTATGGCACCTCTGCTCTTCACTGGTTCTATTCTACATTTTCTTCCATATCGTTCACTCCAGTACGTTGTTATTTTACTGTGTAGATTTAGTACTTGGCCCTCCAGTATCTTCCAGGTGTATATTATTTGATATCTCTCTCGTCTTCTTTCTAGTGAGTACATTTGGAGGGCTTTGAGACGATCCCAATAATTTAGGTGCTTTATTGCGTCTATGCGTGCCGTATATGTTCTCTGTATTCCCTCTATTTCAGCAATCTCTCCTGCTCTGAAGGGGGAAGTGAGTACCGAGCAGTAATCAAGACGGGACAACACAAGTGACTTGAAGAGTACAACCATTGTGATGGGATCCCTGGATTTGAAAGTTCTCGTCATCCATCCTATCATTTTTCTGGCTGTCGCAATATTTGCTTGGTTATGCTCCTTAAACGTTAGGTCGTCAGACATTATTATTCCCAAATTCTTTACAAGCTGTTTTCCTACTATGGGTACATTTGATTGTGTTTTGTACTCTGTATTATGTTTAAGGTCCTCATTTTTACCGTACCTGAGTACCTGGAATTTATCACTGTTAAACATCATGTTATTTTCTGATGCCCAGTCGAAAACTTTATTAATATCAGCTTGAAGTTTTTCAATGTCCTCAGCCGAGGTAATTTTCATACTGATTTCTGTGTCATCTGCAAAGGATGATACGAAGCTGTGACTTGTATTTTTGTCTATATCTGATATGAGAATAAGGAAAAGCAGCGGTGCAAGGACTGTACCCTGAGGTACAGAGCTTTTCACTGCACTTGGACTAGATTTTATATGGTTGACCAATACTCGCTGAGTCCTGTTTGACAGAAAACTGAGTATCCAGCGTCCTACTTTACCGGATGGGACAACCCGTTCTCGCAAATTCGTAAAGTCAATATTGACTTATTAACTACGTGCATAGGTGATATACTAAACATAATAGATACCCTTAAAAAGATTCATAGAAAACACCGACCTTACCTAACCTTGTTAGTATCTTAAGATAAGCATCTTATTGCTTCGTAATTACAATTATTACTTAACCTATACCTATTATAGGTTAGGTAATAATTGTAATTAGGAAGCTATAAGATGCTTATCTTAACATACTAACAAGGTTAGGTAAGGTCGGTGTTTTCTATGAATCTTTTTAAGGGTATCTATTATGTTAAGTATGTCACCTATGCACATATTTAATAAGTCAATATTGACTTATTAAATTTGCGAGAACGGGTTGGATGGGAACCCGTGTGACGAGGGCTGATACCATGGGAGTATAACCTGCTGGAAGAGAGCTACCATGGGAGTATGACCTGCTTGACGTGGGCTACCATGAGAGTATGACCTGCTGGACAAGAGCTGTCAAGGGAGTATGACCCGCTGGAAGAGAGCTGATACCATGGGAGTATGACCCGCTGGGCGAGGGCTGCTATGGGAGTATGACCCGCTGGACGAGTGCTGATACCATGGGAGTATGACCCGCTGGACGAGGGCTGATACCATGGGAGTATGACCTGCTGGACGAGGACTGATACCATGGGAGTATAACCCGCTGGACAAAGGCTGAAACCATGGGAGTAAACCCGCTGGATGAGCGCTGATACCATGGGAGTATGACACGCTGGACGGGGACTACCATGGGAGTATGACTCGCTGGACGAGCGCTGATACCATGGGAGTATGACACGCTGGACGAGGACTACCATGGGAGTATGACTCGCTGGACGAGGGCTGATACCATGGGAGTATGACCCGCTAGACAAGGGCTGATACCATGGGAGTATGACCTGCTGGACGAGGGCTGATCCCGTGGGAGT